CTTTATTTTGAATTTATTATCTTATCAATTCCATTACTTGCTTTTGTGAGTTAATTCAATGACTTATATAAATAAATTCAACAATTTTTGCTAGAAGTTATTGTTACAACACTACACAAACGGTTTCGTTTCAAATTGAAACACAAAAAGAGTAGTAATAGTCTGGTTCGATTTACTATTGAAAAAAGAGAATGAAATTCATTACATTTGATACAAAAATATCAGACTTGGATTTGTCATCCTTAATCAGGAGTAGCAAATAACTAATCATCACTTATATTTTTTATTTTAACAATAGAATATTAACAAAATCAGTTTTCCATTAATTTGATTATGGTTTATTAGTAAAAAATAAATTTTAATTAATAAACTAAAATGTTCCAATCAAAAAACTTAAATTAAATATTAACTCTTATTTAATCATCAAACCTTATATGCTTTCCAGTGTCTTCAGTATGATTATTTGACTTTCGTTTAAACCCACCTTCAGTATTTTCTGGACAGTCCATACTCTTATGGCCTACTTGTCCACATTTATAACATGTAGCTTGATCAGAACTTTCTGGAACTTCTTGTTCAGGACAATTTTTTCCAATATGCCCTGGCTTACCACAATAGAAACAAACCTTATCGTCTGGTTGAGAACAGTCTCTTCCAATATGTCCTGGTTTTCCACATTTAAAACATACTTTTTGAAGAGACTTATTTAAAGATGAAGTTTCAGGAGCACTTGTGTCTCCATATTTATATCCTTTCTTTTTTGTATTTGCATATTCAAGATAAACAGTTCTTCCTTCAAATTCTTTACCAGTCATCTCATCAATACATCTTTGTGCCTCGTCAATATTAAAAAAGTCAAGATATCCAAACCCTCTTGACTCACTTTTTCCTTTAAATGTAATAATTCTACACTTGGCAATATTATAATCGCCAAACTCCTCTCTAAATTTCCTTGTATTCCATTGTTTAGGAATTCCTTGAACACAAACACTAATATACTTCTTCTCCTCATCCTTCTTTTGTTTATCCTTTTCTTCTTGTTTTACTGTTTTTTTATTTCTCTTTAATACCTCTTCTTCTTGAGGCTCTTCTTTTTTAATTTTGTCTTTGTTAATTTCCTTTTTTTGTGTTTTTTCTTCTTCTTTTATCTCTTCTTTCTTTTTATCGTTTACTAATTCTTCCTTTTTATCATTGACTAACTCTTCCTTTTTATCATCAACTAATTCTTCTTTTTCTTTTTCATGACTTTCTTCTTTTTTTACTTGTTCTTCTTTTTTATCGTTTACTGACTCTTCTTTTTCATCTTTTGTTATTTCTTCTTTAGTGTCTTCTTCCATTTTAGTAACTTCAGTAATATTTTTTTCTTTTTGCTCTTCTTCCTTATCATTATCATTATCTTTTTCTTTTTTCTTTTCCTTTTTATCTTTTTTCTTCTCCTTTTTATCTTTTTTACTATGTTCTTTTTTATCTTTTTTACTATGTTTATGTTCTTCTTTCTTTTCTTTTTCTTCTTTAATTTCAGTTTTAGCTATTTCATGTTTTTCGTAAGAAGGTTCTGAATCAGACTCAGTATCAGAAACATCAATAACCTTGAAATTTTTTGGAGTCTTTAAAGACATTAGTATTGTTTTAATCAAAAAAAGATTACTAGGGTTTATAAACCAAAATATAAAATAATTATATATTTGTGTTATTTATTTTTCATCATTATTAGCTTTATATAAAATAACAGACGTGCATTGTTTTTGTTTTACCAATACCCAAAAACAACAGCTAATGTAATAAAAAACAATTGGTCTAATATTTTGGCTTTAAAACCTTTGTTTTTTACTAGTAATTGTACTAAAAATAACTAAACTAAATGAGAATTATAAAATTCTAAATTTGGTCATTAATTGATTAGATTTTAGATTCTTATAATCATTATCTAGAACCTCCATTCTTTATGATTTCTAAAATATTTTTATTAAAACACTCAAATTATTTAATACATTCTTTTTGTAATATGAAAACTTAATACTTGTTTTAGAGAAGAGTATTATTTATTAAGAAAACAAAAATACGAGAATAAAAGATAATTATTATAATATTTTTATTGTTTCAATTAACAAGGTTGTAAAAATATTATAGAGAATATAAATAAATTTTTGAATTTGTTTATGAACTCCTCTAGTCAATAGTCAATTAAAAAGAATTTATCAGCAAGTAATTTTTCCTTTGAAGATGTTTAGTAATCGATAGTTTCATAAAGAAAAATGAAAAAGTCTTTTCAAATATTAATAAACAAAAAAAGAAGATATTAAAATATAAGAAAGTAAAATTTGATATAACAAGCTTTTTTTCTCTGAAAAAAAGAATTCAATAGTTCAGAAATGAATGTGTTTTCTAGTTAGATAGTCTTTGTCTTAAATAATCTTTTATAAAACAATTTAAAAAAAATTAATTTGAAAGTGATTTATTCATCTTTTTCTTTTATAAACCTTTTAGCTCGAGTATTTCGTTCTTTCCAAGTTGTTTGAATAAAATCAAACAACTCAGGTGGTTTTGGGAGTTCTATTAAAGACCACATCATAGGAGCTCTCATAGCGATATCTCCGATTGTTTCTTTTGATGCCACTTGAGACATTCCAACTTCAGTACCATAATAAATATACATAGGTCCATCATCATTTGAAATGAACTTTAAGGCATGTTTAACTTTATTAACATCTCCATTCATCATAAACATAATTCTATCCATATCATGATTGTCAACAAACAATCCTCCTAAAAAGTTTCTTGGATATAACCACTTTCTTAACCATAATAAAAATTTAAATAAAAACTCTGGTACATACTTAAATCTTCCTTTACCTGATAGATAATCCCTTATTAACATACACCCTCTAATATCTAATACCCCATCCAATATTGGGATGTACATCATCTGAGCTAATTCTTGACAAATACCATCAAACCCAATTTTTGATAACCACCACAACAATCCTTTCATTGGAGTTTCAATAGTTTGTAAAATTCTTCTTTCACAACCACCAAACCAAACTTCTCCAATTAATAATGGAACACGTCTTTTTAATTCTTTTGCTTTTTCTTGTAATACTTTTCTTACTTCTTTAAAAAAGGAATTTGGGATTCCGATTGCATGGTCAATCCTAAAGTCATCAGCTCCTAATTCATAAAATTCAAGAAATGCATTCAATAATGATTGTTTTACTTCTGTGTCATTATGATTGACTTTCCATAATTCGTTATACCCCAAAAAATGCATTGGATTACCATCTGAATACCATCTAAATCGTTCAGTTCTAATCCCTTTCATTGCTTCTTCAACCCAAGGATGATAACAGCTAACATGATTAGGTACTATATCAAGGAGAATAGAAATATTATTTTGATGTGCTACTTTACAGAGTTGTTTAAAATCATTTTTTGTTCCAAACCGAGGATCAACATCATTAAAGTCAATAATATGATATCCATGATATGGCATATACTCTGTTACAATTGCATGATTTTTATATATTGGAGATAAAAAAATTGTAGAACATCCTAATTCTTTCAAATAATTCATTCTACTAGTAATTCCTTTTAATGTCCCTCCAAGAAATTGATTTGAATTTTCTTTAGTTTCTAAACTTTGGTTGTCACCACTAAAACGATCAACAAGGATATGATAAATATTCCCATAATAAAAAGGATGATACAAAGAAATCATTGGTAAATGAAATAAAGTTTTTCAGTCATTAAATAAAAATACTTTTTTTTCGTTAAAAAAAAAAACGAAAAATGAAAAAAAAAGAAGAGATGTGAAACTTTTCTTATTTCAAAGTCTTTTAAAGTAATGCTTCCACCCCAACAAAAGAAAAAGAAGTCATTCACTAGTTTCGTTAATGCATGTTCTTATAACCTTTCTTCTCATTTATATAACTCTGTTGTCAAATCTCAATTTAAGCCATTTCCATTTAATTTAAAATACATATTACAAGGAGTTACTTATACTGAACAACCTATATCAAATAACAATGTTGCTAAACACCTTTCAACTATGTTTCGAATCACTTATAGAAATGGTTTTACTTACCACTTACCTCACTGTAGTTTGACAACAGATGCTGGATGGGGATGTACATTAAGGTCTATCCAAATGTTGTTTCTTAATTCATTAATAAGACTACAAGAACCAAATCCAGGTTTTGGAGAAGATGCTGCAGAAAAGGTTCAACGAAATTTTATTATTCATTCAATGGAAGAACGAAGAGAATATGTCCAATTAATTGAAGACACTCCAAAACAAGAAGCTGTTTTAAGTCTCTACAAAATGTTCAATCTAAAGATAGTAAGACAAAATAACCAAAAAGGAACAAATTACCTTTCTCCTTCTACATGTGCAATAGCCTTATCTCAACTTGTAGAGATGTGGGACCAACGACCTTGTCATGTTATTTATAGTAATACTTTCCCTAAAGAAATTCAACCAAACACTCTTCTAATGATTAGTGCCCCTTTAAATGAAAAAACAATTAGTTGTCTTGATAATACTTTTGTAGGAGGTGTAGTATGTGGTGTTGATACAAAAGCTATTTATGTCTGTGGAAGAACAGGAAACATGTTACTTCTACTTGACCCTCACTTTGTTCAAAAAGCACATGAAGATGGAGATTTTGATATTGTTGATTATTCTGTAAAACCAAGTGACTTAAGAATGGTTCGTCTAACTGAGTTGGTTTTTGGTAATTGTATATGGGGAATATTGGTCAGAGAAGATAATATAGAGATGCTAAAAAATTGGTGTAAAACTTCACTTGGAGTGACTAATGAAGAAGAGATACGTGAGATGGTTTCTGTAGGTAATGAAGAAGGCTTCGAAGTGTTAGATTTTTAAAAAAATGTTATTTATATCATCAACTAGTTTCATAGAAAATTAAAACTATAAAATAATTATACTGAAAAACAAATAAATAAAATTAAGTTAAATAATAAAAATATAATATAAAATAGAATTTGTGATATGAAAACGAAAGAAAACCCTGATTATGAACTTAATTAAATCAGTTGTTGGTTCAAATGTCACACAGAAAGTTTGAAGCACCAAGA